AGTAACTGTCCTGAAGTCTCACAACTAGTAAGTGGCTGAGCTAGATTTGAACCCAGTCCAATCAGAAAGGGCTTCTAGTTTCCACTGTCCCTTTTCACCATAGCCTTTCTTAAAGTTTGGGTTGCGGGGAGAATTTGCCTAAATTCAAGGGCCGTAAATACCTGCTGTAACAGGTGGGTGTTTTTCATGAAATAATCTCCAGACTTTTGACTGTCTACCCCATCAGTAATTAATTTTGGAGCACCTCCTTCCAAGTGGTTTGTCTGTATTTATAAATTCATGTACATGCGCCGTTACACTAGTAGATTGTATGCCTACATAACAGAAATTTCAAAAGACAAATACAGATAGCAATTATAGTAAAAAAAAATTTTTACTTTCTTTTTGCTAAACCTTCTATGGATCATCCTGTATATATTCTGGAATAAAGCCCTTCCCTTTGGAGACTGCCGAAATGATCAGCAAGCACAGCCCTTTTATGCAGGATATTAGACTGAGGCCCGAAGAGAGTATATCACTTTCCCAGGCATGTCTGGCTTTGAAGTTCTTTTTGCTATGTTCCTCTTCATCTCCTAGGAACTGAGAATTGGCTCAGCTGCCTTCTGTGTGTTCTGTCGTTCTCCTCTACGTCTCAATGCGATGAGTTTTACTGAGTAGGAAGTAGGGAGAGGACAGGTTGAAACCCCTCCCCTCCCCTCCCGGCCAGGGGCTCACTCATGCTTCCTCCTGGGCAGTAGGCAAGGGTGATCCCTGCTCCATGATGTCTCACCCAGCTCTTTGTGACGAACTCCCTAGTAGTGCCCCAGCGGCACCCCAGGGCCTCTGCCATCTCTGCCACCCAGACAAAGAAATCAGAAATCCACGGGGTCCCTCAGCCCTTCAGTCTTATGAGGAACATAGGCTTCTGAAGTCCTGCAGGTGTGGTTTTGAATTTCAGCTTAGCTCAGCTGCCTCATTTGCAGAATGATGTCATTTTCATCATTAGTGTGTCTATAAGAACTCAGAAAACAATATATCTGTCCCCAAAGATGCTCCATAAATCTTTGCCTCTTTGAACTTCCATGATGCACTGCACTTACCTGGGCTCCAGGAGACCCATATCTGGGTTGTGGCCTCTGTCCAGAGCCTGGCATTCTGTCAGTATGAGCTTTTGGGGAGCCCCAGGATGCTCAGGCCGTATCACTTGGTTGAGAAAATTATTAAAGCTCCTGCTGGCCAATTTTTCTCTAGTAGGGGTTTGTCAGGAAGCTCGTTTGCAGTGGTAGCACATGGGTGACAGTGCTAGGCCCAGAGATGGGTCAACTAATGTGGCTGCCCTGCTTCCCCTGGGAAATGAGTCATGATGACATCGCAGTCCAAAGAAAAATGACTTTCCCAAGGTCACATACATCCCACCTCAAAACCTGCTGCCAGCCTTTCTAGGATGACGTAAGAGAATAAAGGAAAATCAGAGCAGGAAGGGACCTTACAGTGGATGGCCCAGCCTTCCATTTGATAGATGGAGAAACTGAGGCCAGAGAAAGAATGAGATGTGTCCAAAATAAGGCTGTCACACAACAACAAAAAATTTTTGAGATGTCCTACAGTATAAAAAAAGATGCCTTCTTCTCCATACCCTCTGTTCCACCCTCTCTTCACCCCAAATGAGCAGGAATTCTCAGACTCCAGGACTTTCCAAGCTCTTTCTGGGTGCAGCAAGAGTCTCTAAGTTGGATTAGACATAACTTGACAACTGAAACCCTTCTGTGAATGGAAACAAAACATGTCCTTAAGTCCTTACAAAACTGTGACCTTGGGGAAGTGGCTTTCCTTAGAGCCTTGGTTTCTTTCCTATAAAATAGAGGTTCACTACCCTGTGGTGGATGTGGTGAGACTGGCCCAGGGCCCTAAATCAGGGTGGTAGCTATTTTCACTGGAAAGACCCTTTGTACGGTCAGTTTGTGTATACAAGCAGTGTAAATATCTCCATGATGATCTTGTCCCATGCCAAGCCATTCAGGGACCCGACCCTACTTGCCCCAGAGCTGGGTCTGCCCCAAATCCCCTGTAATCAGCTTGTGACTTCAGGGAGCTCAGCTTTTCCCAGTGCCTCCTCCTGATCACGGGGCGTCAGGGCCTAGAGCTCTGCCCCAGCTCCAAGGGTACAGGCATCCTGTCCCCCCTCCCCCAGGCTGGCAGAGCTTGGGAGGCCTGGACAAAGGGAGAAGTGTGTGCAGCATTGGCTTGGGACCTGCAACCTTACCCCTTTCTCCATGTCACTCCTGGGCACAGAGGTGACAAAACCACTCAATAACCAGTGTCCCCAGGATAGTGGAGGCTGAGAAGGCTCCTGGTTGGACTTATGGGCTCAGGGAGGCTGAGTCCAGGCCGGCAGGCCCAGGCCTGGCCATTAAAACAAACTTCCATTGTTACTACCTCTGTGGGAGGGGTTGAATGGAACGGAGCCTGAGGCTCTGCCATCCAGCCACCAGGCCAGGGGAGCAGTAGCTAATGCATAAACGCTGGGGTTTTGCAGCAACTGAGCAGGGCTCCCAAGTCTTGAATTTGGGCAGAATGAGGCCAGTGTTCATCCTCTCTAAGACCTTGGCACTACCACCTTGTTGGCTTTTGCCTCTCCAGGGCCTTGGCACCCTGTAAGGCAAAAGAGCTCTTGCCAGACCCCAGCTTAGAGAT